TCACCGGGCAATATCCTATTGCACTTGGAATGCAGCATTGGCAGCTCGAGGCCGCGGCGCCCTATAGCCTTGACCCTGACACAGCAACAATTGGTGAGCTGTTTCAGCGGCAGGGGTACGCAACAGCATTAGTGGGCAAGTGGCACCTTGGTCATTTCACAGCGGCTGCTCTGCCCATGCGCCGTGGCTTTGAGAGTTTTTACGGGTTTTATACAGGCGGGGAAAACTATTTTACACGCGTTTCGGAGGGAGCCTGTGCACGACGAGTGAATACGTCCTCAAGAGACAGCATGCCTGAAGTTGAAAGTGAAGCGATGGAGTGTTTTTGGGATGCGATCGATGGTGAAGCACACGCGGACCTTCCGAACGCACCCGCAAGCTACGGTAAGAGCCATTCGACCTATGCGTTCGCCACGCGTGCCTCCGAACTTGTCGCCCGCCACGGGAGTTTGTCGGAAGACGGCCTCGTCCAGCCTTTCCTTCTCGTTCTTGCTCTGCCCAACCCCCATGTGCCACTCCTCGCACCAGCTGCTGTATTCAGGACACATGATGCTGTACTTCGTCAGATCACTAACAACCAGCGGCGCACTTTCGCTGCCCTAACTATCCTTTGGGACGAAGCTCTTGGGAACGTGTCGGCTGCCTGTAACACACATCTGCCCGCGCGTCCGATACTCTGGGTGATTACTTCAGATAATGGTGCTGCGGTCGATGGAGGCGGGAGTAACTGGCCTCTGCGAGGTGGTAAAAAATACCTCTATGAAGGTGGTGTCAAAGTCCGTGGCATCATGTACTCAGCATCAGATACTCTAATTCCCGATTTACGCCGCGGGGCCACATACAACAGTCTCATGCATATAGTTGACATACTTCCAACTCTCTTGCTTGGAGTGCTCGCGGGAGGGAATTATAACAACGATGGCCTCATTAACATCGATGGTGTTGATCATTGGTCCCATCTTCGTGATGGTGCTGGAGACGAGCCGCGTGATGAAGTTCTTCTTAATATTGACTACCTAGACGCCAATCTTGATTATCTCGGCTACCTGCGAGCTGCTATCATCTCCTGTGCGTCGACTTACGCAAATGGAGGCGTGGCCACGCTGCCTGATTTGCCTTTGTTGAGAGCCTCGACTCTGGGTAGGATATGTTTCAAAGGCCTTTATAACGTGGAGGAGGCTTTTGCAGCGTCCTATTTTCATTATTGAACGGCGTGTTTACCTGATATTAGGTTTTCTGGTACGCCACACCTAGAGATCCCTACACTATCATATTACCTAAACCAAATCAGTTTGCTGTAAATTGTCTGTGTTTATCTGCTTTAGGTCGATTGTCAAGTTTGACATGATTAGGTTTCTGCGCTCTACAACCTCTCTCATGATCCTAATGAACGCACTGACATATCCAATGATCTTCCGGATGTCTTTCAGGCCCTCCATAGGCGCATTCTCACAAAGTACTGGGCGGGGATGGTCCGCGCCAGAGTAACCCAAATAGACACAAGCGCCTTCGAAGCCTGGCGTAAAGATGAAGGTTTTGTTGGACCTTGGCTTGGTTCGAGTGGGCTCAGGTTCTGCGGAGTTACGTCCACGTCCAGGCGACTATATGAGGCAGAGGCTGGTTTGGGGAATTGCTCCCTGATCTACGACAGAAAGCGGCTCATTTAACCAGTGACAGAGGCTGCTCAGAGGCTGGGGCCCCGACATGGAATTAAGCAAGTCGGTCCTGTAGTGGAGTTCCTGGACTCAGTATAGTATCTATAGGGTTCTCATGTACTCCTCCGTGAAGCGGAATTCCCGGTCTCCGTGTAGTGGGATTCATGGACTCCGTGAATTCCCGATGCCGCACAAACCAACCTTCGAACGTTGAATGGAGCCAAGCTGAAGCGTCTCCTGGTAGTAGGTGTAGCTGCGCCGCTACTGGAGACTCGCAGCGAATATTAGCCTACTAACCTAACCTCTAGCTAGCCAAGGATACTACAACGAGCACAGTGCGCTCTTTCTATTCAAGCGGCATCATGGAAAGTGCAGAAGGTATAGAGAAAATCGGAATGAAGCCCAAGACTGCGGGGGAGAGAAGGCTACGCAGAGAGACCGAGCGCCGGGCTCCAACACCTAGCGAGATAGTTAACTCCGGGACAGGGAGGCAGCCTGATTCTCCTGTTGGGAATCAGGGCTGCTCAGCAGCCCCATCTCACTTTTCCATTTTCAGTCTAAGTCAGGAACACTGCCATTTCCCCTCAAGGGCGGTACACCGGTGTCTCTGTTATCCTCACGGTACCTCAGCTGCCGTAGTATAGGGGGCCGGGGCTAATCCCTTCCATGTCAGTGGTCTTCTCTCTCTCTCTATCTCAGTGACTATACTAGGTTACAGTACGCTACTCTACTACTACCCTACTACCATCATGCGAGGACTGTACCTACCCTAGTTAGGCTCTCCTTCCCGTTCCCCTCCTGTATAACCAGTTACTATACAATGACTGCGCTACCGTAGATAGCACACTGAGCTTCCCCTCTCACCCATTGTGCTTATCCTGCTACTACGGACTGTACCTTAACGCCAAGTTGATGTACGGGACTTAGCTCCTTTACAAACTAGGGTGGTGGGGTGGGCCCATCACTATCTTGCTTGACTAGAAAGCTACTTTAGAACAGAACTTCCTTAACTCTTTGTGTCCATATCTGTGGCTGAGGAACGTTGAAATGCAACTTTTCAAGGCGGTTCAAGATTCGGAGTTAATGGCCCAGCGCGCAAGACGACATTGAGCTCTTTCAGATGCAACAAGAACCAAAGGAATCGGTGGCCATGGGGCCGAGAACGAGACCTCCAAAGTTGTGGTTTGTATGGCCATTTCATCGATTTTTAACATTCCTCAGCTTATATCTCGGCTCGGGCTTGCGCCAAGATTGTTGCATTTTAACCTTCCTCAGCCACATCTACTGCTGTTCCCGGTGTATCACGGCGCGCTTACCTGTACGGCTGGCGCCCACACGAGTGATTAGCCTCAAATGGCGTCGGGTGATCGGCGCGTCTGGAGCCAGCAAGAGGACAGTGCTATCAAAGACTTGGTAATGAGGTATGGGACGCGCTCTTGGAGCGTCATCGCCGAACACATCGTGAGTGACTACAATATCGAAGGCAGGACCGGCAAACAATGTAGAGAACGATGGCACAACCACCTTGACCCCCACATTAACAAAGATGCCTGGACTGCAGACGAGGAAAGAGTCATGGCGGATGCGCATAAATCTCTTGGTACAACTAATGCAAACACATTTCGTGGCCAACATCCAGACCGGTAGGTAATAAATGGTCCGAAATTGCGAAACTATTACCCGGCCGGACTGACAACCATGTAAAAAATCATTGGTACGTGCAGAATAGAAATATTCCTTGTATACCATTGTCCTCAGGTATTCTTTCATGAGAAGAAACGTTCGACGACTCAACAGAGAAGTCAACGATGGGCAACCAAATCATCAACATGTCGGATCAGGTGCATAGCCTACACCCATCCGTTGTCAAATCGAGGCGGTATACTTTGCCAATAGAAAGGACTGCTGGGTCTACGCAAGAACCCCCACTAAAGAAGGGTCGCTCACGGAAGGCAGCTAATCTTGCAGGTTTGCCCACCACAAGCAACACCCCTTCAACACAAATTCTCAGAGTTGCAACGCTATTTCACGGCTGCTGCCGAGGCCGCCTCTGAGGTTCTACAGCAGGCGCCGGAAGACTCTGTCTTGGAAGGCACCGAGGATTTAACTCGGATTGCTGAAGCGGGGATCAAACCACTTGATAGTCCAAGGTGCGAATCATTTCCACTCCAAATGCATCGCAAAAAAAGTTCTTAGTCGGATGGTCGCCGTGAGTCTAGCAAGCGGGAATGCCAATTTTCGAGAGAAACTGCGACAAAAGCTTGAAGCTTCTGGAGGGGTAGCCTGCAAAATACAAATAGGCTCACAAAAGCGCTGCTCTGTCGATCGCAGAGTCCGTTCCCCATGAGTTTCAGCAGCTATCACATCCCCGCATACAGTCTGTTGATGAAGACGATCTAAATGACCCCAAAGGGTGCTAATAAAAGAGCATGTCAAAATCCAATATTTCACTGCACAGATGCTTCACCGCAGCCCCAGTGGATTTGATGAGCAACCCCATGCGGACATCAAGCTTGGAGTCACCCGGCTTGCCTCATGCTCGTGCAAGATATTCAAGTATGGGAAGTCGAAAGAGTAGATGGAGGAAAAAGGAACTCAGCATAACTATCGAAGAAGCTGACAATTTCAGTCTCGTGAAAGCAAATAAGTCATCCAAAATGGCAGCCTTGTTTGTGGGGCCATCTGAAGACACTCCGCGGTACGTGGTGTCGTCGTTCACGAAAAACTCAATTTGCTCATAGCCAGTCAACGAGGCAGCTGGAAAAAGTGCCGTGGCCAGGCGACTCTCTCGATAGGTGCCTGAATTCCTACTACAGCATACATACGTGTGTGTGCAGCCCATTGTCCGTCGAACGTCACACTGGATATACGTTTGAACATCTCTCTATGCCAGAAGCCCACTACACGATCGCCAATGCTAGTCGCCCGAGCAGCGTGCTGTATTCTGAATCACTGAAGTGCGTCACACCTGTGAAGGCTTGCAGCTCAAAGAGTTCGCGCAGGTTCGATTTTGACGAAGTTGTTGCTCATTACCCCTGGATCCACTATCAAAGAAACAGATTCTTACCTGAGATATAGCAGAATAGACCCATGCTATATTCAACCCGGCCTCATAGTCGCGTTCCCAAGTATGGAGCGAAAGGGCGCTGCAAAATAGGTCGCCGGCAGAATGCGGCCAGGCGCTGCCAAGGGCAGCCAGCGCGAATACTATGGTACTACATCGGGGCGTCTCTATGGGAGTACCGTAGGCTAAGCGCGCAGACTAAGGCAAACCTGGGAAGTAATGGATTATAGCCTCGCAGACATGTATCGGAACTGTAAAATTTAAAACCCCACATGCCAGTGGCGAGAACGAACCTGTCACTTTCCGACGCACCGGACAAATGGTAATTGAGAAGCCATATAGAAAATAGTCAAGTTGCAAAACCCAGAGAAACGATCTTTTGTCCGAGACGCACCATTTTCTTCAAAATTGCGATGAAGGGCACCTGGCGGCGTCCCGAGGCCTCCCATTCACAAACAGGAGTATGCCCTCATGGATGGGCGAGCTTGCCATCCAAAATACCCAAGGCCATTTCACCTACCTCCTCCTTATAATGCCTCAGCAATTTATCACTCAAACCCGACCCTTGGATGCCATTAGAAACCAGATGAGCCCAAAAAATATAAGCCGCGCCACCCCGGACCCCGGGGAAGCGGCGAGCTGGGAGAGGACCACCACAGCCAGCAGTTTTATTTAGCTGGATGATGATAGGTGGTCTAAGCTCACTGACTCGTTACCGGAAACATATTGTACTGCCGTAAAATGCAATTTTCTATATGCGCTATTGGCTGGTACCACTACTAGTAAGTGAGTGTTATCAGACAGGTCTTCAGACTTTGACTCGTACTCGCCAG